GCCCCCCCCCCCCCCCCAGCCTGACAGCAACGTGTCCGTGAAGACTGACCCGTGACGTGGGTCTGCTGAGGGGGACTCCCTCTGACAGAAAACAAGGTGTTTCCCCAGAGTCGGAGGTCTGCTCTCACAGAGGAAGGGACAATGATCATCCGTCGTTGTTTTACTGGATCCACATGCAGAACCACCTCTGGAGGCGTCTCATGTGAAACAAACCAGCGGGACCACTGTGTGAGTGACATCATTTCCAACAGCTTCATGACGGAGACAGCTGTTATCACTTGCCAGGTCTTATGATGACGGGACCGTTTTTATAACTCCTCTGAATGGAGGGGTTCGGGTTGCAAACTGTAACTTGTACCATTTGCATAAAACCTTGTCCATCCATCTGAAAAACGGCGAGCATGTTTTAGCCACTCTACGTAACGTTCGTAGGGTGAATGTGCGTTAAGTGATGTGTCATGTTTTGTACGGCTGTCAGCAGTCCGCCCCTCAACCGCCGTCATGCGTCGCGGGAATGTTTTCTGTGTGATCCCGGGCGAGACTTGAGCTGAGGCGAAGCGTGTGACAGCTGATGACGCGGTGGGGCTGCGCGTTTGACGTCGCTGTGCGAACGTTGAAAAGGCGGAGGGCGTGACTTCATTTACGCCGTGCTGTTGGAGTGAAGGCTGCTAGCCCCGCGGAAGCACACGTTGTTCTCTGGAGGGACGCGCGCCGCTCTCGCTGGAGGGGCGCGCGCTGGAGGGAGGCGGGACTCATTACCGGGTTCTTTCAGCTGCTTCACGTTTAAGCTGCGGTGAGCTGCCGAAAGCTGAGACGCGGTGGGTGACGGCTGCCCGCGTTTGATTCGTTGAGACGGGTGTCGTTTCTTGTGAGAGAGAAGGACCTCCACCCGAACCAGCCTGCGGACCACATTTACACCGATGTGAGCTGGTTAGCGCCGGCAGCTGTGTGTGTGCGCCAGCATCAACGCAGCGCCGTTGGATGGAGGCTGTTCATTTAGTGATCGACTCGTCATGTCTAGAGCGGCGGTGAGTTAAAAACCTTATTTAAGGACACCGGCTCATGTGGAGACTGTTCCATCCTACGAGTGCGAGTTGACACCGCTTGAGTGAGGATCGTGCAGTTCTAGTTGATAACGAGTTATTTTCGCTTACCGTTGTGCCGTGATCGACTCGTCATGTCTAGAGCGACGGTGAGTTTAAAAACCTTTAATTAAGGACACCGGCTCATGTGTGGAAGCTGTTCTGTGATCGACTCGTCATGTCTTAGAGCGACGGTGAGTTTAAAAACCTTATTTAAGGACACCGGCTCGTGTGTGGGGCTGTTTCATCCCACGAGTGCGAGTTGACATCGCTTGAGTGAAAATCGTGCAGCTCGGGATTATAACGAGTTATTTTAACTTACCATTGTGCCCTGTAAGCGACTAGTAATGTCTTGGAGCGGCGGTGAGTTTAAAAAACCTTATTAAGGACACCGGCTCTTAATGTGTGCGGCCACTGCGAGCTCATCCGGGCTTACAGACTGGCTAAAAAACAGACACTTTGATCATTAATGATGATTTATTTCAACTTTCGTGTCACTTTTACACACACCCTCCGGAGACCGTCATTTTGAGAAACTTCTCTCTCATGAGCTCTGCGATTGTTTGCCCAGAGCGCTGT